AGGTGGTTCCAGACGACTCTCTCCCCTATCCCCTCGATTCGTCAGCACGCAACCAGTAGAAGGAGCACCCTATGCAGCATGCCATGCCTGGTGAGGCTTCTTTGCAAGATTGCTGATGCTTCCCTGGAGCGCGAGACATAGATTGAGGCCAATCCTGGGAACCAAGTCGTTGCGCCACATGGCAGAATCCAAAACTATGAAACGACTTGCCTTACAAGCGGGTGGAGCAGGGATGGTTTGGGCAGAGTTTGTACTGCGAACTTGTAAGAATCCAAACATCCATTGTCAAGTTCGATCTCGAATGTGTACAAATTGCACACATATCAATCAAATGATGTCTTCTTGTAGGATGCCAGAACAAAATGGGAAGAAGTGAAGAAGGGCAAACACGAACAACAACTGCACACTGGCAGGGTGTTGGAAAGAAGAACAAATAACGTTTAACATAGCCTCACCTCTCAGCAGGGTGCGGCTAAAGCTAGAATGAAGAGAAGCTCATCTCAACAAGCATCAGTATCAGCACGTGAATCAGCATGTCATCATGTGCCTGTTTCTGTTGTTTTTTCTTGGATTCAGAACCCTTTTTTCAGGAGTGTCCTGGATAGCACGCCATCACCTCCAGCAGGCTCCTGGCAGTGTCCAACGGAAAAAGAAAGCGTTGAACACGACGATCGACCGTCGCAACCAGTATCCGGCAATCCAAACTATTTAGATGATGAATGATGTCAAAAAATGTCTAAAAATACATGAAACAAATATACTTCTTCCTGAAAACCACTCGTGCTCTGGCCTCAGGCAACATAGGCACGTTTTTTTGCGCGAAAACAGGTTTACTTACAGTTTCTAATTGAGCGTGTTTTCGGGTAGCTCTTCGTGTAAAGAAGCCTCGCGTGAAACCTTCCGCCTTGCTAGCACGAACCTTGCATGACGCTGATCCACCGCCTTTATTGTGACGACTCCCAAGTGAATCAGTGTAAATAGGGACAAACCGAATAGAACGACGGGAAAACTTGGCCAGCTTCCATGTTCCAAATATTTTGGTGATACTGTTCAACTCAAAATCCTCGTTCCCCGGTGTGCAACTATGAATTCCCTGAATCTGTGCTGTTCCTCTGGATAGTATCTGTAGGAACGTCCCTGGGCAGTTGGGAAAACCCCTCAACACGGACCCAACAGCTGCATTACGGAAGTTCCAAGGGCAACCATTACATTGGTCCATTGCCCGTTCCAAGGATGCTCAAGGGTCTCGCCTTACCGGCGGCTCAACGAAGGAGCTGAACCTTTCTTGGGCACATCCTTACGCCCACAGCTCACCGCGGCCTTGATGGTAGCTCGATGACTTCCGCGTCTTCGTGTGCCTAGTTCCATCGAGCGCCCTTTACAGCAACCAGCACTTTTCGACCCTTCAATCTCACTTTTCAGAGCGAATCAAGTCAAACATGTGCAGATCACGGGAAGGACTAGGCGATCGGTGGAAACTACAGGAAACATGCTCAAGGGAACGAATCTTTGGTTGCAAACAGCTTGCAATCACTGAGGCTTGTCGTGAGATCCAGGACTCGATAAAGAATACATCGCCAATCATCGCGCCTAGGGCGCATGCAAACAACGAAAAGGGCATCCGAACATAGTGGATAAAAAATGGATCCGAAACATGATGAACCAAACAGTTTCCAAGCGTCCGAGCACTCTTGGAGGGAACTTGTACATATATAGATTAGTCTAGCACCTATGACCGATATTATATATTATATATGCTTATATTACTTATAAATATATATATTACATTAACTTACATATTTTGGGGGGGGTACACTAGTCTATAGTATACACCCATGAATCCCGGATGGATTAGGATGATTTGGACCATGGATCCTCCAACACATCCGAAAAAGAGGCGTTCTGAGCATGCGCGACGCTTCGGGCGGTCGAAAGACCGCTCCGCAGAGAGACCAACAAAGAGAAACCGAACGGACTGTCTGCGTGTGCCTGATCCAACGGAATATCTCCCATGAGCAAACTCTAAAGGCGTAGTACTTTTCCGGGGACGAAAGCTTCAATCAGCTTTGCATCCTTTGCATCCTTTGGAACTCCGCAGGGTCATGAAACTTATTTGGATCCTTTGCTTTCCCCCTCCGCCACACAGCTGTTCGATCCAGGCACCGGGGTACAAGCGCGCTATCTTGAAAGGCTGGGCTTCCAAGAGCTTGCCATCGAAGAGGATCTTGCTTACATCTGCAGAGCCCTTTGAGAGCACCAGCAAAGACCTAAACGACATCCCCTTGCCATAGGAGGTCAGACAGGCAAGGCCCCGAACAATCCAGGACGCATGCCGGAAGTTCGGCACAAAGCTACATAAAGCATCATAAAGCTACGGTACGAGTATAGAGGCATAATGATGCGTACAAACGTTGTAGTCGAACACTTATACTCCCTTTCTCTGGATCCGTGGAGTTCACCCCATTCTCCTGGTCTGAAAACTCATGGTCTGGAGGAACGCCCAGGCCATTCTCATCCATTCTCCACCTCCGAGAGCACCAGGCCATTCTACACGTCCGTCGTCCCGGTCACTGGCGTGAGCACCACCACCCGTCAACCGTTCGGACCCACGTTTTGACGACGGTTTGGAAGACACCAAACAAGCGACCCGACCCCCCCCCGCCGCTGTACCTGAGTTTCTGACCACCTCCATGTCATATTGTAGAGAAGATGGGGGGACGAACTGCGTGATGGGTTCTCCTCTTTTTCGGCACCATGCGGCGCAGCAATGACTGGATCCGACTCTCCCGCAGAGGTTTGGGATACGGCGCGGGTCACCGCTCTCTCGACGTCTACTGGATGTTTCTCTCCATCGTGTTCGATGCAAAAAATCGGGATGAAACAGGGATGACCATTCCATCTCCATAATTTCCCATGTACTATGGGGATGGAGATGGATGGGGACCATTTCCATGGGCATGTACATGTCTTTTAGGAGTACAGGGATGAAATGGTACTCCTATTGAAGGATTTCCCAGGTACTCCTTGAAGATCACTGGACCATCCATATCCATCAACCTGTTTGCTCCCTCTTTTTCTTCTCTGCCAAGAGGCTCAACAGAATCACAGTCTCCTTCTTGCACAACTGGATCTCCGGCCGCATAGTTTCGCAGCTCGCTCACGGACGCCAGCATCCAAATGACCTCAACAGAAGTCCTTTGTTTGCAATGTTGTTTCTCCCTCACAGCACATGAGGATTTGACAACATGGCCTGGGTCGGTCCCCCTAGCCTGTACACATTAATGGGAAGGGGCCGACCATGACCAACTAGGTTTCTAGCCATAAATATTGTTCGTTGCTCACGTGAACAAATACAGCAAAGGTGAATGGTGAACGCAAAGGCGTTTGCAGCTCTGTCACCATGCAAATATCACTTCCAGTCCCCGTTTCTTCTGACCTGCGCAGTCACTGTACCAACGCTTCCAAGACACTTCTAGAGGAAGATTTGGAAATGTTGCAAGCCGGATCAAGGTCTCAAATCTATACCGTACCTGGATCATGACGTCGGATACGTGGCGTGACATCCAAACTCCAAACTCTGAGACAATGGCCCCTTGGGTCCACAGACTTCAATCACCTTCCGATGTTCAATGCTAAGAGTCCGCTTGTTGATTCTCGTCAAAGATCTCCAGTGACGGGGTCCCCGCAAAGACATCGTGAATCCGCTCCAGAGAGATGCATGCCAGCTTGCATTTTCCAGCCCTCAAAGCAACAACAATCGGCCCAAGCAAACATTCCTGACTGCACTCTCGATAGTTGGCTAGCCCCTTACAGTAGATGGCACAAACCCCTACATGTCCTTTAGATGGGGGTTCAAATAAACCACCTTTTGGGGATTGTGCCATCTACTCTGAAATCACTGTATCATTGTGACTGACGTTTCTGTGCGCACAAGAAGCTGACTCGATAAGTGTGGCTGAAATGAGATGAAAAGAGGGATATCAATGGATATCAGCTGCAACCCGCAGTGGGTCAAGTTGTTGGGTCAGGGGAGGAAGGTCTGCGCGACCTGGTCGGACAAACCCGATCAGGAAGTGCATGATTTTCCTCCAAGTGTCTGCGTGTCCTCCTTCTGCAAGAGATTCCTCTGGTTTGTGAGAGCATCCACCACCTCCTCAGTGGACCGCATCCGAAGCTGCACTACTCATCATCCATGACGAAATAAATGGCTTATCTTGATTCATTCATGATCCTTGGTATAAACATGATACTACAGGAATCAATATAACTTGATAGCGTTCATATGCTGCGTTCAGTTCTATTACCAATCGCCTGGTTTCCCAGTGCCTCCCGTCGTCTCCCGCCCCAAAAAACCGGCCGCTCCGCAGTGCCGGCCCTTTTCGCCGGCCCAGCGTCCATGCGCAGCGGCACGGTCGACTGCTCCGAGGACGAGCTCACGGAGCTGGTGTGGGGACACAGGTTCATCAGGCAGTCTCGGACCAACTGCTGGGTGCCATCGCCTCGGGTGTGCGGCAGGTGAGGTGAGGTCTGTGGTGCGTCGACCGTTGATGCCATGCGTAACTACGTGACATCGGTGAGCGTACCCCCGAGCAACCAAGTGTGGGGGCTGTATGGACCTCTTGTTCAGGTAGACATGCAGTGCTCACATTGTCACAAAGTTTGGTGTTTTAAAATGTGTTCAAGGTGTTTTCATGTGGTTTCATGCCGAATGAACAAACCAGATGTGTTCGAGGGTTCATATGAAATTCCAAGCTCTTGAAAGGGATTTGGAGGATTGTGTATGTATGCCCAAAAGCAATCTGTTCAAACTTATGCTTGCACGACGCGTTCCTGGCAACGTTCAAACTTATGTCCAGATATGTCCAGTGCTCTTTCAAGATCTGTATGTTTAGCCAAGTGGCTAACTGTGAATTCCCATGCCGAAAATGGGAATTCTATGGAATCTAGTGAGTACTCCATTCCCATCGTCTCCACCATGGACTATGCCAGTTTGACATACTTTGACTTACGTTGACCATACCATGGTTTGGCCACATCGCACATCCCCAAAAGATCCCAGCGGCTCAAGTCTGGCAGCGTGAAGCCGAAGTCTTCGCCGGAAGCATCTGGGCCAGGTCGGGTCGTTGGGTTCACTCGAACGCCCGAGGCGCAATTCGGAAGGCTTTCGGACGAATGGAAGCTCTTGGACGCACATCGGTCCCAAATGGAGAACTGCCAATGAAAGTGGAGGAGTCATTCCCTTATCAGGATCAGCCCGTCCAACTCCAGCACGTTTGGATACTAAGGTACAATGCAATTACATCACTGCCACCAGCAGTCCAACACGCATCCCCCCACTACACATGTCATGTCTATGTATTGCATATATATATATGTATACATACATATACACAGTATACATATATATATATGTTTTATTATGTTTTAATCTTCTATCTCTTATTTCACTTGCTACTGCGGATCCTGGCTATGAGACTGATACATGCACGGTTTCGATCGCTTGGCCAGCTTGGTTTCGGCCTGGATTGGGCAAATGGCTTGGATCCTCTTCATTGGGCAAGATCTGTGTCACGTCCACAATGACGCTATTGGGCCTGAAAACAGCAACAATGTTGGACGAGTGTACCCACCCGTCAGTGTACCCAGCCGCCCAAGCAAACAGGGTGGCCGAGCTGCTCCCTTTGACGGGGGGAAGGTGACTCTCTTGAAACATGGAAGGCCCAAGCATCCCCAATCCAAAACCTTAAAATAAAAATGTAAAAATACCCGTTTTAAAAAGGGGGGAGGTTGGGGCGAACAGTTTGTAAGGGGACCAGGTTTGGAGTCTACAAAAAGCTCTGACCCAAGCTGCTTTGCCATCTACAAAATGACATGTACCAGAGTGGGCGTGTACAATATGATGATGCCTCAATATTGCTATCTGATTCTTACAGGTGCATAGCCATCCATACAGCAAAGTGATTTCTCTACAAAAATGGTGTTCTGTAGGTGCCAAAAACTGCCTCGTTACAAAATGGCCCCTCTGTAAGGGCCTCAAGCTCTCCCTTTTTGTAGAGAAAATTTCAACGGGTATTTAAAAAAAAAGACAAAAAACATAATCTTGGCAGAGGTCGGAGGGGTTCACCACCACGGCGATGATGAGTCGTTTCTTTTTCGACTCAGCCTATCAAAAGCATGCTCCTCCGCCACGGTATGGGGCCGGGAAACTAAAAAGAGCAGCAGCAACGACCACCACCACAACAACAACAACAACGGTCGGTCCTCGAAGGCTTCGGCTTGCCGGCAATCTTCGACCTCCTCCTTAAAGTTCTCAGGTAGGTCCTGTCTCAACAACCACATTTATCATCGCGCTGATCTCAGCGAACACCGATGCATCCAGCATCAAGGTGACGTCGACCCCAGGTGAACGAAAAGATTGGAGCAATGTGCCCAGTCAAACCATGTCAAACAGGCCCTGTTTTCGCCAAGAAGAAACGGAAGAAGTCATCTGAGATGTGCTTCACACTGGCTTGACAGCGGCATGTGACTTCATGTCATAAAGGGTCCGAAACAGTACTGGACAGCAGTACTGCACAGTACTAAACCAACCCCTTTCTCACAAACACCTGCCATGTCCACCACCTTCCCACAGTCCGGGACACCACTCCGTCAAACCGCTCAGCCGTGCTCACACTGTCCATCTCAGTTCAGCCGTGCTCAGCCCATACCTCTTCCTTCCATCCATCCTTTCATTCCCACCACCCCGACCAACGCAGGCGACTGGGTGCCCAACACCGGTGGCGCCTGAACTGCACCTGGGCTGCTTCATGGAGCCGCAGCATCCCGACGAAGCCCAGGGCGAAGCCGCCCGACGCCAGCGAGGCCGCGTGGCCGCCCACGCACACGTACAACGCGCCCGACCTGGGTGGGGGCGGATGGCGGCGCTAAAGCCCCGAGAAGCCCGAGTTCCAGTCCAGGAGATTTTGGAGGTGGTAGAGGGACCCAAGGGAATTGGGTTTTTGCTGAGACCGTGCCAAGGACATATTGAAAAGTGTTTGAAGAGATCAAAGTGCTTTTTGTGTGGGTTGAGGCCATTCTGTAATGACACTGATGGTTGTTCCCGATGTCTTCTGTGCACCAAAAACAGTAAAGCTTAAGAAGGATGAAGCGCACATCATGGCCTACAGGATAGAACTTGAAGTCCTTCCTTGAAGTTGTTTTGACTTGGAGAAGGAGAAGGTTGAGAAGGTGTCGTCTTTTTGCAAACCATTAAGTCAAGCTTCTGGTTCATGGCTTGCCCCTCGTTTGCAACATGTTGCAACCATTCTCAGCACCAGAGTCAAGTTCTGGCACATGTGAAAGAGCATATACATATGTATATATATATATATGATTAGTCGAAGCTAGACGTCACACTCAGTATGTAATTAGCAAGCTCAAGGAGAGCTTAACAACACTGAGTGCAGAAACGCGCATCAATAAGCCAAGGGGCACCACAATCATTAAAGACATCTCATCCTTCATTGGTATCCTTGGCACGGACGGCCCGTGCGACATGTCACATCCAGGTGTTCAGTCAATCAAGCAAATCATTGAAATTCATTGAAGCAGATTGGATGCAAGTTGTTGGCATAAAACAGTTTCCAACCTGCACGGTGCAAACAGTCTCTCCAATTTCTCCAAGCATCTCATGCCCTCTCCCAGGTGTCCACGAAAATGCCTGCAGATCTTGGTGAGCTGATGACGTGACCAGAACCGGACGAAGCAAAGTCACCGGCGGTGACGATTTTCTCAGCAATTCAGGAATTTCAAGAAACTGTAATGCCGTCCTGTCTTCACTTTCATTCATACAATTTAAAAATGGTTTGCAGTGAAAAAACGACCTTCCCACAAATTGACATAAAAGAGCGCAAACAACTCGCACCCCACACTGCATCACGTCAGCATGACGAGAAAGCCACTGGACTCACGGGCATGTCTTCCCTAATTGGAATAGATACATACACTATACAAATTCATATAGCCAACACCGACAATCAAGGGACTGGCTGGACACAAGCCCAAACAACAACCCGTTGCAATAGGTCGCTATGACCAAGCGGCTTGGGCTGCAAGCCGCTTGAGCAAGTCAGGATCACATCCCTTGAAAATCCGCTGCGCAGCGAGTGCTGAAGAGACCAAAGAAACGACCTCGGCTGCACCAGGCATGTGCTAGGTGACTGCCCAAAGTTGAGAACATCATCAGCCTGGTTTGCAACCTCTCCCTGCGAAATCCGATGAGAAGATGAGACAATGTTGACAATCATACACACTTTTGTATCTGTTTGTATCTGTTTGTCTTGCTTGTCTCATTCTGCTCGAAAACCAACCAGATCACTGGAGGGTGCAAACAAGCCGAGCAAGCCGAGCCAGGATCGATTCAAAAGGATTGGCGATTGAGCGATTGACGTGTGCAGAGCAACTAGGTAACTTTGGGACATTTGCTGCGGAGAGAGGTGTTTGTGAGGATTTGGTAGGATAATCTGGGTGGGGATGTCAATGATGCAACGTGATGCAACATGATGCAACAACACTTGTTCAATCTCATGCCATCCCTCATTTTGGGCAACTTTAGACTTCCGCTTGGTTAGTGAAGGCAGGTGTCAACCAACAAGTAAGTGCTCAGCTTACACTAGAAAAGCTTTACAAGGAGCTAAGAGCATTCCCCAAGCTGCTCCTGCAATGCAAACCACCCTACGTTAAAGCGGGCGTTCGCGGTGGACTGGCATGATCCGACTGGCATCGCGTCTCGGCAAAGTCTGGACCTCTTACATGTAAAACATCCATGTCATGAGAGTTATGTGGAATTCCCTTTCAGACTAAGAGGCGAAACATGGATACATCTTTCAAAGATACATGTTGAACAAATGCACTTGGACAATGTTCATCCTTCATGTTCTGGTAGGGCATCGCTATTTGTTGGCGGGGGCATCACTGCCATGGTCACTTTCTTTAGCTTTTGGGAAATTCATAATTAAGTTTGAAAGCAGCTATATAGCATCTTCTCGCATCATTCATACCGTGACGTTGACTGTGGCTTATATGAGAGGCGTCACAAGCAATGCCGATGGTGTTGGAGCAATTCCGATGCTAGGATGCTAGTCAGGCCAACGTGTTAGGGATAAGAATCACGCCAAAAGAATCTCGCTAAGATACAAACTGTCTCGTCTTCAGGATTCCCACAAACTGATCTTGGCCCAGTAAAGTCCGGGCAAAACGAACTCCAAAATGTTCGTCCAAGTAACATCTTCACTCCAGTTCTCTGTCATCCACTGGTGCTCACAGGTGACGCCAGAGCAGAGTGAAGGAAAATCACTCTCGCTAAATGCAAGTCGCAGAATCCATCGTGGGCCCCAAAGTACCACTTCCTACCCCAATCAGGAAGTCTCGGGTCCTCTATTGAGCATAGACCTGCAGTTGACACCTCATCGTATATCTCATCCAACTTTTCAAAACAAGAGGCTTCAATCACATTTCAATCAAAAGCCAAGCCCTCCTTTTTCTGGCTGCAACCGGAAGAGCGGGTCGGCAGCGCTGCCTCCCACTTCGGAAGCTGCTCTGCCAGACTTGGTCTCCGATTCGCTCTGGTCGAACCTCCGCGTGTATCGTGAGCATTGAGCTGATTCTCCGGTCCAACATGGTCCAACTAAAGAACGCTCGCGACCAGGTCGGCGTCGGGCGGCCCGGACGCCTTGCACTAAAGCAAGTTGTCACTGAAGGCCTTGGCCTTCTTCCAAACCTCGGAGCAGTGGAGAGAATCGAGTTCGAAGCTCAAGAAACGTCAGCTGAACTGCTGCCCGGAGCGTTCGCCTCTACACTGCACCCCAAGTGTGCGGAGCATGATCATGGGGAACCTGAACCATGAAAGCAAAGGAACAAGGAGGGACTAAGATGTGAAGTTTCTTCTGCTTCTCCTTCTTCTTCATCTTCTTCTCCTTCTTCTTCTTAATTTCTTATTATTCTTCTATGTGGTTGCGGGTCACTACAGTTTACGGCCCCATAGGTTCTGCCCAATCATCTCATGGATGCAGAACAGACTGGGGTCTATCCATACCCACACACACGAACCTGCCAGGTCTGATTTTGGTGACCAAATACCCTCACCGTGGTCTGCGCATCATATGCGCAGGGGCGACCAATCCTGTGGTCCTCTACCACCAGCGGCATGTGCGCTGCAACTCAAACAGAACTGCCTACCACCTTCGTGCTTCGTGCGAAAGTTGCTCTCCAACATAACACCCAAATGCAGTGCTACTTCCCGAACGACCTCGCGGACCTTCGCCGCGCCCCTCGATGATCGATTGGGGTGCGGTCCTCGTCCGGCACGGGCGACACTTCATTGATGTGGTCCAGGGGTTCAGGGCGCTCCACCTTCAGATGTTTCTTTCGGTGCTCACGAACAAAGATTCTAGAAAGGGAATCGCAAAATCTCGTGGAATCTCTACTGCCCGGAGGTCTCTGATCCAAGCTGATCCAAGCTAATCCTTGAGGCCGCTTCACATGGTGAAGCTGACCTGTCTGCAATGGGTGAATCTGCCGTTTCGAACGCCAAAAAATATCTGTGCAGTGTGCCCCAGTCACTGTGTCTACCCCGTTGTCGCAACGTCCCACCTGGCGCATACTGGCGGCCTGAGCGGCGAGCGCAGCCTGGGCCTGCTCAGCAGGGTCCTGGCGCAAAAAACAAAAGCTATTTTTCAGGTTGGACTCTGGCCCCCGTCTCGTTCTAAGAACTTGGGATGTGTCTCTGCTGGACTTCATGGAGGTTTTTCGTTCTCCAGTGAAAGCAAGCTCGCGGTGCACAGCGGCGGTTTCCGAGGAGCACGGTCAGCTTCCGACAGTGAGAGAGCCCCTCAAGTATAAGGGAATGGGACAGTTCATGTAGTGTGAAGATTGCATGTGTTGGCTTTTCTTGCTGTTTGCTCAGTTTGCTCGTGGTTGATCTACTGTATGTGTGTGGCCGCCGCCGATGTTAGCAAGGCAGGCCATGTCTGTTGGCTTTTTGCTTAAACGCTGTTCCGCAGTGCGAAAGCACACGCGTTCATGTGTTGCGCGCCTTGGTTCGATCTCGGGGTTGCACCCCCGAGGGACTGCTTGAGGGCTTTTTCTCCACCAAGGGTGGAGGCAGCTTCCAGAACTCGAATAGGCAAGTTCGGATTGGCTAATATCTGCCAGACTGAGCAGGCCAACAGGGTGCCGATGGTTCACGTGGACGCTTCTTGGACATTGCTCATATAGCCAGGCAGCCATGAGTTGCAGGTCTTCACCAAGCTCGGGATTGTTTTCCACCGTACGAGTACCATCTCTACCTGTGTAGTGTGTCGCCAACCATCCCATGTTGCATCATCGGAATCCAGAGGGAGAATGGCAAATTGGCACCAGAACTCAACGCACGGATGATTCTGTTCCGCTGTCTCCTCTGACGACACAAATTTCCGCCAAAGCAAGACACGCAAAAAGCCTCAAAGGCGAGCGGATGGCCAGGGGTGAGTTGGGTCCGGAGGAGCAAGGCTGCTCGTTTGGGGTCCGGAAATCTCAAGTGGAATGTCCTGTTCATCGCATTTCGCCGGTGGGAGACCAAGTGTCGCCCTGCCACGCTGAAAGCCTGGAAGATCCGGTCGCCGTGACCAGGTGCGTCGGCTGCAAGGGACTCGGCTCCTCCGGATGGGCGAAGGTATTCGGCACCTGGGAAGGGGGCGGACCGCATGAGTGCCTTGGAGTGCTGGTAAGACGGAAAGGGGCCTCCTTGTTCCGTTCGGTGCTCCTTGGTCGGTCAGAGCTGCTTTTGCGGTTCCATTTGTCTCCTGGGTGGTCTTGTGGGACCACAGTGCATGGCAAAGAGCCCTAGTGCTGGGGCATGGCAGAGGTGAAGCGATGAGCTAGCTTGTAATACCTCAAATGGAAGCGCACAATCCAGACCCAGCAGCATCTGTATGCACTGGAGGGACGTTGTGGAGCGGAATCCCATCCAGGAATCCAGGACTGCGAGAGCGATGCAGAGTTGTTTGAATGGGTGGATAAGGAATTGGAGAGGTGCAGAAGGTAGCCTGGTGAGACTGTCGACTGTCGCCCATTACTTGTCGGAGATGAAGGTTGAGGGCACAGTATAGCAGAGTAGATCCAGAGTTCAAGATCTCCGACATGGCCTAGGGACAAAAGCTGATTTCAAAGAGCCTCTCTATCCCGCAGACCGCCATGAGGTGCACTATGCTGCAGATGCGTTTTGGCTGGAAAGCAGGTGGGACGATGATGGCAATCTATATGACACTCGATGGCTCAGTGACCCTTCTTTGTCTACCTCTTCTTTTGACTTTTGCTCTTCCTCTTCTTCTTCTTCCTCTTCTTCTTCCTCCTCTTCTTCTTCGTGGTCTACTATCTTCCCATGTTTCCTATGTATGTCCAGGAAACCCCGTCAGAAAAACTATAACAAATTGTGATTCAATGGCACCCTGCAATCCCTGCATGTTCCAGACACCGTTAAGCGATGTATCAGCAAAACCGACCAGCGCCTTCTTTCTCTTTGGTCCGACGTACAGTCTTCACACCCTTTGGACCTTGTGTACCTCAGACGTTCCCTGAAGAGCTCCAAGGTTGAAGCAAGTGCACACAGCACTTGCTTCAACCTTGGAGCTCTTCAGGGAACGTCTGAGACACATTGCAAACAACTTAAGTTGATCTCTGACTGACTTGCAAAGCGTCACGACGAGTCGTGCACGGCTTGGGCAGTGCAGCGCCCTCGTCAGGCAGGTCCATCGAAACAATTTAAGTCTAAAACCTTTCAGGACCATCTGCACCCACCTGTTCTTCCAAAACCGAAACACCACTACTCGCGGATTTCGGCTTCTCGTTTTTCCTTCGGTTTCGGGAGTCACAACGGTGCGCCTCAAAGAGATCCGACTGCAACGCCTACACGTCCAGGGCCGGTGCCGGTGGTCGAGTGACCCACCGTCCGAAAACGAGTCCGTCCGTCGGGGGTCTTCGCCGAAGCTTTCGCCAAAAGCTTTGTTGAACTCAACAAAACTCAGCCAGTCTGGGCCCAAGACCACATGGCAAATTCGTTGTAAATACTGTATATATACTTATAATTGGTATCAGGCTGGAATCAAACTTCCTCATAAGTGCAGTATTCCAAAAGCGTCCAAAAGGAATCCAAAGAAGGTCAGTCAAGAGTTCTTTTCGTGGATCCTCTGAGGATCGTTAGCGGTAAAAAACACAAAAACAGAAAACATATATATATATATTGTATGTATATACATATTATATATATATGAACACGTTTCATGTACTGTATATATATATATACACCTTTACAGTACAAATTCAAGAAACAACTCTTGCCAGCTCAAGGTTTGCAACATGAAAGGCTCTCGGAGATTGCAAGATGTACGTTCAATTCTCATCAAAACTAAAATAGATAGGCAAACCTCAAAGATCCTTAAAGCACTGGAATGATCCAAAATGAAGTGGCATTGCAACTGAACGCGTGGGCCTCCTTTCTCAAGAACTTCTGCGTCTCTTCCCCGCTATTGTGGATCTGCAGTCGGATCCAAATGCGGCTGGCACCACCCCGACAACCGCACAAACCTTTCATGTGGGAGAAAGTCACAGAGTCACAGAGTGATCAAAACCAGGAAATCGGAAGATTCACCTTGACTGCAGAGCCTGCAAAGCCTTGACTTCATATGACTGACCAGTTTCTACATGTTTCTACTGTTCAGTGATGTCCCCAAAATGATGCACTTGCTTTGCCGACCTAGCCAACCTACAAGACCACAGCAAAACTAAAATGTTCACAAATGCCCAAAGCCTGAGCTCCGCAGATATCATGCTTCAAGACATGAACTGAGCCTCCTGCCCAAACACGAGCCTTCCTGGCATCGGTCCACTCTCCGGAGCCACTGCTTGAGAGGATCAAGTTCTCTTGGCTTGTCCGGGGTCGTTGAGCATGACATAAAAAGGAGCAAAACTCAAAACTCCGGTTTGTCTATACACACATATATACTGTGTACTATACCGTGTGTGTATATATATATACATATTTGTATATACATGCTGTATGTATATATATATATATATGATCTGTGCAAGTTATGCATTATATATGCGAAACTCCCTCCAAATCTTCCCTGAAATACGAACGAGCTCCCAAATCCCTGTAAGCCAGGTCAGCAGGGCGTCTTGCCACCTTCAGTCCCTGCCGCCTGGTCAGTCGTGGCAAACAGATGCAACTTGGTTCACTGACTAAGGTTCACCAGGTACAGTAGGTTTACCAGTGGTGTCAACTGCTCTTGCTGATTCCGGCGCTGAACATCTTTCTGAACAGTCATCAGTCGTTCGCCTTTCGTTGTTGCGGAGGGGTCTGGCTTCCAAGAAGTGCGTCTTGTTGCATGTCCTTGTTCAATCTTGTTCAATCTTGTTCAAACCAAAAACCAAAATGTCTGTGCCGTTGAAGACCTTGACAGCACCCATTCGCTGCCTGCCACCCAACAAATCCAAAGGTATCCAAAGGTCATGTTGGTCCTTTTGTCCCAGCTGGGCGGACTTCGAGGGATGTCTGCCCCAAGTCGGCGACTTCGAGTTCAGATCCCTGATAGACTTCACAGCCCAGCTTTGAACCGTCACCCTGTAAGGTTGACTCTTGACTATTAAAAAAGAGTAGAGGTTTTACAATCCAAATCAAGGGGGTTAGATGGGGTGAGTGACGGTGATCAGGAGGTGATCAGGAGTTTGAATCTTCGCCACGGCCCACTCACTTGCTGATACGTGCTGTAACCAGGACCCCAACCCCACACACACCCTCCCGGATCCCGGACACCAGATCTCGCTGTCGAGCTCTCGCTGTCCGCCTCGATGCTGTCGAGCACGTCCATGCCATCGACCACATGGCCGAAGACCACATGCTTCCCATCCAGCCAAGGGCATGGAGCCTCGCCAGCGAGCGCCAGCGCTCGGACCGGCGCGGTGAGGAGCTGGTGAGGAGCTGGTAGGGGAGGCACCACAAGCGATCAACCCAATCCACCCAGCTGGCCAAAAATCCCAGAAGCCTTGGGAGACAAAGCCTCTACTGTCACACCCTCGTTGGTGGAATGAATCTGAAGCCTGATTAAGCAGAGCCGCAGAACCAACACGTTCGCCATTGAACTGCACGTCCAGCCGCGTTTCCGTCTTGGCAAACGACGCCTTCTGCAACATCTTGTTGCGGAGAAAATCGAACACCGTGCTTTTGCGTGCTGTTGATGCACGGACAAACCTTCTACGGCACGTGAAACATGATTAGGAAGTTGGCGACGCCAAATCAATCTCTGTCAAAGTTGGCGATGGTTGCTTGGTAGTCCTGGATGTCCTGCACTCCAAGTTGCACATCTCGATTCGAACCTCATCGCCCAAAAGACTGTAAGTTCGGGCGTTTCAAGGGTACCTGATAATCAAGCATTGTGGCAATACGGACATGGGACACATTAAACCATTTACAGTGGTTTCAGAGTAGATGGCACAGACCTCAAGATGTCCTTTATACACCACCTCTTGGGGTCTGTGCCATCTACTCTCAATCCACTATAGCTTGTCTGCAGATATATATATATATATACATGCATCTCCATAATTATAGTGTATATAATATTGTATAACTATATATTTTAAAAAATGTCAATAACTAATTTAATATGAATGACTATATAAGTCTATGTTATATACTTATATATGCCAGGGTCTCCTAACAGGTGTCTCTTAACAGCTCCTTAGAGGTCAAGGGTTTACGTTGTATTCTTTCCAGGAGTTTTGACCTGCTCTCCGTGTTTCGAAATCACCATCGCATCGAATTCATCAGTTCGTCAGTTGTTTTCAGGGCATCTGGGAAGCACTCAACCCCGAAGGTTTCAACAGACCCACATGTGCAATCCAATTTCATGCAAAACACCTGGAGATCTGCGAAAAAAATGCGGGAAAAATGGACGTCCTTGCCCAGCCAAGCTGATGTGATGTTGCCTCAAAAAAGCATGCGGAAGCAGAGCACAGCAAAGCAGGGTTCGCTGGAAGGGACCAGTCCAGGCCGACCAACCTCATTTTGGAACAGCAAAACCTCGTGTGGGTTCACAGCCACACCAAATCAACTCCGAGTTTTTCGTTCATGAAGGTCACATGTGCCCAGTCCATCCACACAGTTCGTTCCCATCAGCCACTTATCCTGGGGGTGTTGGTTCGTCTTGACCCAAGGTCAATGTCGCCACGTCGTGTCCGAGACCGTCTTCCTTTGAGCTGCGTCGATGATAATGGTTCTCTGCAGCGGCAAAGGGGGCAGAGCCCAAAAAAGGCACGGCACCTGGCGGGCGCCAATGAATGATGGAGAAGGCACCTCAGGATACCTCGGGTTCTTACAAGTCTATCATGGTGCGTGCGGCGGCACAAGATGACATGAGCCACATCCAACTCCACTTTGTTGGAAACCCAAACCCCAGAGCCTGAATCTCTCCACGTCTCAAAATCAAAAAGCCAAGACACTTAGACTTAGATCCATGCTCGCAAGAGCTCTATCAGCCATGACGTCCACGTGAAGCTAGCACTTGACGTTACTGAGAGCTAGACCTGGACTTGCAAAACAGAAGGGGTGCTGGGTCGGCTCAACAGAAGGTTTAACAAAGGCGCGTTAGCACGTTACTCGAAAATGGGAGTCGCAGCTTTGTCAACAGCTCAAAAAGAAAGAGTGTTTGAAAGTTTGCAGGTACGTCAGTTCCGCGTCCGGAACTGATATCCTCACTGTGTAATGCTAGCTTCGTTGATGGAGAAGCAATACAGGTGTCTCCATCTCCTGCTGACTGTACAAAAATGCCAGTGTGAATTGAAGAACCTATATAAGTACAGTTAGAAGGATTGTGGTCGTTCTCCTTGGAGACAGGAGGTGACACACACGCACACACACACTCGGGAAAAACACGTACGATGGGAATGCCAGTTGCCGCATCGCCTATAGGTGGAAAAAAGAAACTGGGCAAAACGAGTGCAAAGGAGTCCAACCATGGAAAGTTGGTCCATTTGTTCTGGAAAGGATTTGTGAAAAACTGTCTAAGTCATTCCAAGTCCATCGAAGTTCAAAAGTCAAAGTTTCAAAACGCTATGTAAATGAGCATCCGCAGAAATTCAAGTATAGCGAGATGGCCGCGAGTGGGACGTAGGTTCAGCATCCATGTCCGGGTTCGGTGATGTAGCTCGCCAGTTCGCCATCAATGCAAGAACGTGCAACAAGAAGACAGGGATGCGAAACACAGGGGCAAGAAATCTCACAAAACCGAAAATCAACGAGGAGTTTGTTGACTGCGGCAGCGCGGCCATGTAGGTGGAGAGGTCGGAGGTGTTCCAGGAGCAGGAGGTGCAGAATCACCGGTAATGGGATATGATATAGGGAGGTGGAGAGGGGAGCGGCTGCGATCAGGTAGAGCGTGGCGGCATAGAGATAGTCCCCGCGCGCTTGTTGCTCGTCCACCCGGCTTATGGACATCCGCATCAAAAGAAGGGAAAATTATCGAGGTGCAGGTGGCAAAGGTGGAGGTGAGGATGGAGCCGAATGTGTCGGAGGTTGACGCTTGTAGGCCACTGTTGAATCACTTTGCAAATCTGCTGGGTTTCAGTGGCGGGGTGGGGTGGTTGCACTGCTTCGCGACAGCTTGCCAGTTGAGATGCTCCTTGGCGTCTCGTTTGAGCATATGGAGAGTACTGGAGCTTCCAATGAGGGTGTTGCCGTCCACAGTGATCAGTAGTAGTTCCATAGGAAGAGTTCAATTGCCTAAGCAAGTTAGGTAAAGGTCAGGTGGTTCCAATGAGCCGCCATGGAGTCTTCCGCCACGAAGGTACCTGGCGGAAGTGGCCCGCGCTGTCGATCGTGTCGAGGTGGCACAAGAGCCTTTTCCAGGTCTATGTCCTGGACCTTTGCCTGATCCCGTGCGATTGCGATACAGTGTAGTGGGAATAGCATGCGCATGTATGAGCAATGTTCCAAGGTAGGATGTGGGCTCTGACACATGGAGGATGTGATCTGCTACGCCTGCGTAGCGCTGGCTCCTCTCGCCGCAGCGGCAGAACGAGTGCAAAGGAGCCCAACCATGGAAAGTAATTTCAAGTTCTCCTGAGAAGAAGTTCCTGAAAAGCAGTAATACTTGTGCAACGGCTGGCAATTTGTTCCAGTAACGAGCGGGGGTGGGGCCAAAAGGAAATACAGTAAGTGGTGAACACAGCAGGTACGCCAGACTGATCAGGTCTGGTTTCACCACCGATTGCAAGCGTCTTCGTTGGCAGGGGTCTTGCAACGATGCTCCTGCCCCCTACTTATATATATATATATAGACAGTTAAAAATTGTCCAAAATGGTGAAAAGCCAACAGTAAGGCTCTCTATGATTTCAAGTGTTACACACAAACACACCCGCACGCGCGCGTACTTGGGGTTGTTTTTGAAAACTTGTTGAAACCAAAGCCAACAATCGCACGAAACCGAAATGATTCACGCCGGATGATTCACTTCTCGTACGTCCTCACGCCTTGATCTTGTAGAAGAGTCACCGTGAGGCGGCCAGGTCGAAAGGCCGCAATCACCTCACCCGCGTGGCGTGGGCGTGCGGCGGAAGGCGAGAAAGGCAGGTCACGCAAAGGCCAAAGGTCCATCGATCCGATCCAGAAGATCTCAGAAGTGTTAAGATTTAGAAGGAAGAACCCGGTCTTTATCAAACAGCTTTGGTCAGATACCACCCCTACTAGTACTACTCCAAAACCCTGGATCAAACAGGGATTCTCCAAAAATCCAGACTGACTGGTCCTCCAAACCTTTTGCCACCCAAGAAATCCTTCTCCGCAGCCGGTTCTATTCGTCTTCACACCTGGCCCATGAGCTGGTTCAGCGTCTCCTCCAACGTCCGTTCGGGCACCCCTCGCAGCGCCGAGCCGAAGTTCGTCTCGAAGGAGGCCTCGGGGCACGGCGCCCACGGGCACGGCGCCGCGGTTGGCGACGTGTGAAGAACAGAAGGGGGGTGAAGAGTTACGTATGGACTTGTCCGACAGGAGTGGCCTTTTCCTTCCCAAAAAAGAAGAGAGGTCATGAGGCCACGGGCAACAGCTGATTACCTGCAAACGGGACACAAGGCATGACTGTGCAGCACACAATAGTCCTCGTACTGAGCACAGGATCGTCGTGCTCACGTGAGGTTTGTATATAGAAGCTCTATGGTTTCCAGAACGACCTTATGGCATCTTATGGCCGTTGTTTTTTCTCTGTGTCGTTTTGCAGTGTTTGTACAGGTACAAAATGCAAACCGGATGGTATGCAAACCGGCTGTTGAGTTTGCTCGGCCAGTCGTGCGATTGCGACAAACCTTCTCCAGCAGGCTAGTAGCCATCCTAAATCATCCCAACATATCCTAACATCATCTAACACCTCTTATTTATTTCGCAATGCCCTGGAACCTGATCTCTCCATTTTACTCCTTTTCTTTTACAATGAAACACATCAACTCCTGAAAATCAGAACGCTGGAAGACTAAACCCTTGTTTGGAGAAGGGTTCTTGCAGTGAAACAAGTTGGCAGAAACATAATGTCAAAGAAGGTAACTGCAACTGTCCGGTGCTCATGTTTTTTCCATTGGATGAACCATGTTTCTATCTATATTATACCGTAACATAATATTATATATATAACATCATATAACCTCTGGAAGGACTTCAGTCTGACGTGGGACATCTGTGGGTTCAAGTTCTTCTTTTGCGGACAAGGCTACACCCTGCTCGGGCCAGCTGGTGTTGAGTAAAAGACTCAAGAAAAATCGTGAGAAAAACATAGAAAAAACACTTCCAGACTTTCGCCTTGCGCCCCTCTTTTAATATCCATGGCCTCGGTTCACCCGTTTCTCCCCATGGCCACTCCCGGTTCTCCGTCCAGCGGCATA